TTTAGAGGCCAGGTGCATGAAAATTCCTGCACTTGAGGTGGGGTGGGGTGGTCCTTCAGCCCGGCCTGCGCCCTCTCGCAGTCCAGGACCTCTCGGGGGATGTCCACTGCCAGCTTAGGCCCGCTCCCCAAGGGAATGGGCCTCACCTGGCAGTCAGACATCCATCTAGCAGCCCAGGAGCCCTTGGGGAATATCCACTGACAGCTTAGGCCCACCAAGGAGCTGGCCTAAGCTGTCAGTTGGACATCCTTAGCACTGTGGAGGAGGTGGGAGAGGCTCCTGCCACCACAGCCATCAGTCCAGCTTGTGGCTGAGCGGAGCTCCTCCTGTGGAAGCGCACTGACCACCAGGGGGCAGCTCCTGTGTTGAGCGGCTCCCCCCTGGTGGTCAGTCTGTGTCATAGCAACCGGTTGTTCCCAATCATTCCGCTGTTAGGGTCAATTTGCATATTATCCTTTTAGTATATAGGATACATATACACACACTTCAGTTAACTTGACTTTTTTTTTAAATATATTTTTATTCATTTTTTACAGAGAAGAAGGGAGAGGGATAGAGAGTTAGAAACATCAATGAGAGAGAAACATCAATCAGCTGCCTCCTGTACCCCCCCCACTGGGGATGACTGGGGATGTGCCCACAACCAAGGTACATGCCCCTGACCGGAATCGAACCTGGGACCCCTCAGTCCGCAGGCCGACGCTCTATCCACTGAGCCAAACCGGTCAGGGCAACTAAACTTTTTTTAAAATCCTCACCCCGTAGGACATGATTAGAGAAAGAGGGAGAGAGGGCAGGAGGGAGGGAGGGAGAAACTTCCCAAAGGGGCTGGGGCCGAGGGCAGGCTGTGAGGCTGGCAGAGGAGGGTATGCAAAGCTCCCATTAAAGTATGGCAGAGTAGCCAGGCCAATGCGACTCAGTGTTTGAGCGTTAACCTATGAACCAGGAGGTCATGGTTCGATTCCCAGTCAGGGCATTTGCCTAGGTTGCAGGCTTGATCCCTAGTAGGGGTCATGCAGGAGGCAGCTGATCAATGCTTCTCTCTCATCATCGATGTTTCTATCTCTCTCTTCCTTTCCCTTCCACCCTCAAATCAATAAAAACATATTTAAAAAAATTGAATA